TGGACTGACTAATTCAGTACAGATCTAAGAAGGAGACCTGTATATTTACACAGGTTATCCATATGGAAACAGACTCTTCAGAAAGTTTATTGCTAAGGTCTGGAAGAAGACCCAAACTGGTTAGTGAAGCTGTCTCAGCTATCCAGGGATGAATGTGTTCCTTCCTGGTCACTAGTTTGAGAGAAGAAACCAGTTCTTGAAACCACGATCATGAACTCTGTGAATGATGAACTGGAGCAATGGTTCAGTCCAGTGAGGCTTTCTCTGATGTCTGCCACTACAATTTATAATCCAAGCACCAGAAGAAGAAAAAGAAGAGGTGGCAAAAAAGTGTCTGACAAAATAAAGACATAATAAATCATTTTTTCATTTAAATCTAAAACTCAGTCCGGGTCTAACAATGCCTGCTGCTATTGGTGCACACTGTCTCCTTCAGCAAGGAGCACAGCTGCAGCGTTGCTCCCACGTCCCAACCAGGCTGCAGTGCAGTAACGTGTTCATACCTCAGTCTCAGAGACCTGCACTCACCTGTGTATATGGCGAGAGCCTGACTTTGCTCTTGGGCCGTGATGCTCGGCTCTTGGCAGTTCTGCAGTTGTCTGTGAGGCTGCTCGTGCAGGGAAACGAGGCCTTGGATGTGGCCTGGTCCAGAGAAAGCTGGAGGCCTTTATATTCTGTCTCCCTAAAGACACACAAGCAGAAAAGCCCAGAGGTACAGTGCATAGATGTGGAGAGCTTCCAGTCTCATGTAAAGACTATTTATTAAAGAAGACGATGAGCTGCATTTTCTCTGGGTGCAAAAAGTCAATAACATCTGTTTAGCAGTTAGAGTGTGATGAGTGCTGAGAGACCGGGCGATGTGTGTGGGTGGGTGGGTGGGTGGTGCTGAAAGGACGGGAGCTGCTTGTGTTACCAGAGGGATCCACTGAGCCGTCCAATTGAATACACTGACAGATTAAAGGTTACATCTCGCTCAATCAGACCCGTAGGACAAACTTGGACGTCCCACTGCGGGGAAATGGGAATTGATTTCTTGCTAAAGTGTTCTCAACATGGATGATGAATGGATTTCGAGACAACAGAAAACCTCTACACAGTTTATTTGAGACAAACAGTGATCTCTCTTCTGTCTCAGTCTCTGTAAACACAACTCTGTGGCTCGCTTACATTTGGAGAATCCTAAACTAAGAGGAGCATAAGCAGCGGCTCTGCCGGGGCATCCCAGAGAAATCCCACATTTGATGTTTTCCCCGCTGTAGTGCATTTCATGTGAACGTGTTCCTGTGGTTCTTTATACAGAGTGGTTTAAAGACTGAAACACCCAGCAGAGCTGCTGTGGAAGTCGCATGAGTGAAATGCGGTCGCATGCGTTTGCTGCAGACATTTAAAGAATTGCTAAATTACTGTCAAGTGGAGGTATTAGGTGTAGAGGTCATCAGAGCTAAACACACAGTGGGAGTTCACATGCAGGTGAAGTATCCCATCACCTCTGCTATCAGTGGCTGTGTGGCCAAAGCTACGGGGCAAACCAGCTCTGCTGCTGATAGCAACACTCCACAAAAGCCTGCGCTCTCCTTATCTCTGCCTTTTGTCGTGGAAAACTCAGACCGAGCGAGAGGACCACGCGGCTTCTTCTCCATCATCACTACATAAGAAAATATATTAAGAGGAGAAGAAATGAGCCTTATGAGGCTTCGGTCCCTTTACAGCAAGCTGGGGCCGTAAATGCTCATCATCTTTACAAGATATCAATTAAAAGGCCGTAAACAGAAGCCGTTAGGGCTGCGATGCAGGACGTGCAGCAAACATGTGTCAAGCTGTTCTTTGCTTGTAAATGCAGTAAGTCATGCTGCTTAATGGAGGCTTTTTATGGGCCTTATTCATTCATTTAGGCTCTTGTACATCTGTGAAATACACACATCGGGGCAGTAAATAATAAATAAGTTTAGTTACTGACAGAGAGAGCGGCTGATGTCGGCACTGATCGGCTTCATTCTGTTTGAAAGAACAAGCATTTGACTGTGTTTATGGCCTGATGGTCCCAGCATGGTCAGCTCCTTTCTTTACACACCGCCAGACTGACTGTGCAGGTAACAGCCAACAAAGGACTCAGACTCTGACATCACCAGCATATCTACTGATAACACAGGAATGTCTCTGTCATCAGAACTAGGGAAAAACCCAGTTATTGGTTTCTGAAAGAAATCCTGATCGTTTGTTTCAAAGGAACAACAATAATAATAAAAGGAAAACGGACAAACTTTAGTTAGACGGCCTGATGCTGAAAACAAGTTAACCTCCAGTGAGTAGCTGCTGTTTGCACAGCGTCTCAGGACCAATACTATGTTATCAAAGCACAGACAGCAGACCTGCCC